TCAATCCCGGTTGCCTTACCCCCTTTCATTTTACTTACTGCCTCACGAACTTCCCCCACACTCACAACTGGCTCTTCCTCACTCCTACAAGATGTTATTCTTCCTTGCCCAATACACGAAATCACAGCTTCCCTATCTTCATCAACATTTAACAATTCCTCAAAATATTCCCTCCATCTTCCCAATACCTCTAACTCTCCATTTAATAACTCTCCTCTCCTATTTTTAACTGACAAATCCATTTGTTCTCTAGGCTTCCTTAACTTGTTAATCTCACTCCAAAACTTTTTCTTATTTTCAACAAAATTTGTTGATAACATCTCACCCACTCTCATTTGCTCTCTTTTTACATTGCTTCACCACTCTCTTAACCTCTCTCTTTTTCTCCATATACTCTTCCCTCCTTGCATCACTTCTACTTTGTAAAAACTTCTCATATGCTAACTTTTTCTCCCTTAATACTCTCTTTACATCATCTTTCCACCAATCGCTCCTCTTCCCTCCCGCACCCACTTTCCTGTAACCACAAACTTCTGCTGAACACTCTAACACTACATTTTTAAACCTACCCCATACCTCTTCGACCCCATTGCCTATGCTCTCATTAGCCCATCTATCCTCCAATAGCTGTTTATATCTTACCCTAACTGCCTCCTCTTTTAGTTTATAAACCTTCACCTCTCTCTTCCCTGATGCTTCTATTCTCCTTGTATCCCATCTACCTTTTACTCTCAGTGTAGCTACAACTAAAAAGTGATCTGATATATCTGTGGCCCCTCTATAAACATGTACATCCTGAAGTCTACTCAACAGTCTTTTATCTACCAATACATAATCCAACAAACTACTGTCATTTTGCCCTACATCATATCTTGTATACTTATTTATCCCCTTTTTCTTAAAATATTTATTACCTATAACTAAACCCCTTTCTATACAAAGTTCAGTCAAAGGGCTCCCATTATCATTTACACCTGGCACCCCAAAGTTACCTACCACACCCTCTCTAAAAGTTTCTCCTACTTTAGCATTCAGGTCCCCTACCACAATTACTCTCTCACTTGGTTCAAAGGCTCCTATACATTCACTTAACATCTCCCAAAATCTCTCTCTGTCCTCTACATTCCTCTCTTATACATTTATTAAACAAAAATACCAACCACTCCAACACAATATCCCCCCTGCTTTTAACATTTCTGTCATGATCCCGTCAGTTCCAGCTGCTTTACCTCCTTTAATTCTACGTAATGCCTCACACAGCTCCCCCACACCCACATCCTGCTCTTCTTCACTCCTAAAAGATGTTATACCTCCCTGACCAGTGCATGAAATTACCGCCTCCCTTTCTTCATCGACATTTAAAAGTTCCTCAAAATATTCCTGCCATCTACCCAATACCTCAAGCTCCCCATCTACCAACTCCCCTACTCTATTTTTAACTGACAAATCCATTCGTTCCCTAGGCTTTCTTAACTTGTTTATCTCCAAAAATTTTTCTTATTTTCAGCAAAATTTCTTGACAGAGCCTCTCCTGCTCTTTCACCTGTTCTCCTTTTGCACTCTCTCACCACTCTCTTCACCTTTCTTTCACTCTCCATATACTCTGCTTCTTCCTCACTGCTGCTTTGTAAAAACCTCTCATAAGCTACCTTTTTCTCTTTTATCACACCCTTTACTTCATTCCACCAATCGCTCCTCTTTCCTCCTGCACCCACCCTCCTATAACCACAAACTTCTGCCCCACATTCTAATAGTACTGTATTTTTAAATATTTCCCCCTCCCCCCCCCTACTCTTGCTTGCATTAGCCCACCTTTCTGCCAATAGTTACTTATATCTCACCCTAACTTCCTCCTCCCTTAGTTTATACACTTTCACCTCTCTCTTACTTTTGTCCCATCTACCTCCTACTCTAACTGTAGCTACAACTAAATAATGATTTGATATATCCGTTGCCCCTCTATAAATACAGTGAACCCCTGCTTTACGATGAGCTCCCAATGCGACCAATTATGTAAGTGTATTTATGTAAGTGCGTTTGTACGTGTATGTTTGGGGGTCTGAAATGGACTAATCTAATTCACAATATTCCTTATTGGACCAAATTCGTTCAGTAATGGCACCTGAACATACTTCTGGAATGAAATAATATCGTAAGCTGGGGGTCCACTGTATGTGCATCCTGAAGCTTACCCATCAGCCTTTTATCCACCAATACATCATCTAAGAAACTACTTTCATTACTTGCTATGTCATCTCTTGTATATTTATTTATCCTCTTTTCATAAAATATGTATTATTTGTTACCGAACCTCTTCCTACACATAGCTCAATTAAAGGCTCCCCATTTTCATTTACCCAGGCACCCTAAATTTACCTACTACTCCCTCCAAAACATTTTTACCCACTTTAGCACTGAGATCCCCAACCACAAGTACTCTCTCACTTAGTTTGAAACTCCCCATGCACTTACTCAACATTTCCCAAAATCTCTCTCTTTCCTCTGCACTTCTCTTCTCCAGGTGTATAAACACTTACTATAAACCACTTTTGACATCCAACCCTTATTTTACACCACAGTCCTTGCATTTACACATTTATATTCCCTCTTTTCCTGCCATAACTTACCCTGCCTCGGTGGGAGACGACCGACTTGTTGAAAAAAAAAAAAAAAACTTATCCTTTAACATTATTGCTACTCCTTCTTTAGCTCTAACTCTATTTGAAACCCTTGAGGTAATCCCATTTATTTCTCCCCACTGAAACTCTCCTACCCCCTTCAACTTTGTTTCACTTAAAGCCAGGACATCCAGCTTCTCATTCATAACATCCACAATCATCTCTTTCTTATCATTCGCACAACATCCACACACATTAAAACATCCCACTTTGACAGTTTTCTTCTTTTTCTTTTTAGTAAACTAGTATACAGGAAAAGGGGTTACTAGCCCATTGTTCTCGGATTATAGTTGACTTTTACAACAGGCATGGCTTACGGAGGAAAGATTTTAATTCCACTTCCCCATGGATATGAAAGGAAAAGCAATGAGAACTAAGAATTTTTTTTTTTTTAACAAACCGGCCGTATCCCACCAAGACAGGGTGGCCCAAAAAGAAAAACGAAAGTTTCTCTTTTTAAATTTAATAATTTATACAAGAGAAGGGGTTACTAGCCCCTTGCCCCCAGCATTTTAGTCGCCTCTTACAACACGCATGGCTTATGGAGGAAGAATTCTGTTCCACTTCCCCATCTCCATGGGGAAGTGGAAGAACCAGAAAGATAATAGCAGAAAACTCAGAGGGATGTGTATATATATGCTTGTACATGTATGTGTAGTGTGACCTAAGTGTAAGTAGAAGTAGCAAGACGTACCTGAAATCTTGCATGTTTATAAGACAGAAAAATAACACCAGCAATCCTACCATTATGTAAAACAAATACAGGCTTCCTTTTTACACTCACTTGGTAGGACAGTAATATCTCCCCGAATGGTTGCTGTCTTCTTTCTTTCAACACACTGGCCATATCCCACCAAGGTGGGGTGGCCCAAAAGGAAAATGAAAGTTTCTCCTTTTACATTTAGTAATATATGCAGGAGAAGAGGTTACTAGCCCCTTGCTCCTGGCATTTTAGTCGCCTCTTACAACACGCATGGCTTACGGAGGAAGAATTCTGTTCCACTTCCCCATGGAGAATGGTTACTGTCTACAGGAATTAATTAAGGGGATGTCAGTAGCGTGCTAAAAATATCTAGCCTAGACAGGACATGCAGCAATTCAGATTCAGGAAGGATATGGGAAAGCACTGGTTTGGTAATAGAGTTGTGGATGAGTGGAACAAACTCCCGAGTACTGTCATAGAAGCTAAGACATGTAGTTTTTAAAAATAGGTTAGATAAATACATGAGTGGTTGTGGGTGGGTGTGAGTTGAACCTGACTAGCTTGTGCTAGTAGGTCAGTTGCCATGCTTCTTCCTTAGTGAATGTGACCTGACCTGACTACCTTAAGGCTTTGGCTTAAGCCAGTGAGTGAATTGGACCTGTCTCACATGGGCCAGTAGGCCTGCTGCAGTGTTCCTTCTTTCTTATGTTCTTATGTTTGATTTCACTTGTTCATTTAACTATTTGTGTACACTTGTATGGCTGTATCGCTGGTGCAACGATAAGTTGACCTCAAGGCTTCAACTTTAAGCACAATTTTCAACTACTTTTTTTGTAGTTTATTGGGTTCAAGATCTAAATTAAGTTAAATGCAAACGTGAACAGAAACAGAATAAAATGAAGAAATACAATGAGTAACTGGAACTAATGAAGAAAACAGTCAAATATGCTAACTCAATCTGTTCTGGTGCTATGAGGCCTCTGTGCAGTGACGAGTGTGTCCTTGTCAGTCACTTGCATTACATCGCAAAATTAAACAGTCGCTATTTTCGCACTGGCGGCACTTGATCATCATATGACCTTGGCATTCTATATTTTATTAGGAAGCTCTCCAGGTCTGTTCTGAAAGTCTTAAAAGTAAAAGTAAAAGACCAAAAAACTATACTGAATCTGAATTCATGTGACAAACTTAGCGGTTTGCGTTTAACGTTAGCTTCCACTAATTTTTTCTGCCCTCTAGTGGTTTAGCATTAGTGGAGCTATTTTTTTAGTTAGCGGATTAGTAGTTAGTGAAGGTAACTTTTCGGTTAACTGTGCCCACCACTATTTATATGTTTTATGAGGTAATTATGTTTGTTTCACTCCCATCTCCCACAATGTGTTTCTACTTTACTTGATATAAAGTCATTCCTCTACTATTGTCCCATCCAGTGCAACAGTCCTGTTTATCAATACTTGCTCACTTTATCTTCCAATTTTGTCTCCAATCCATTTATCATGGAGGATGAATTAATTCTAATCATAACTCTTAGTCTCTTGTTAAATGAAATGGCTCATATTAATGGTAAAAGCAGCAGAGCTCATTTCATGTCTAATTGATATAATTTTTTATCTTGACAGGTGATATGTTTGAAATTGGTCATGAAAGTGGCAGATATTATTCTGTTAACGTGCCTCTGAAGGAAGGTATTGATGATGCCAGCTATACACAGGTCTTCAAACCAGTCATTGAGGTAATATTAACAGTAATAATAATATTTACATCTCAGCAATATTAAATGCTTTTTTAAACTAATACTGTATAGTTGTCCCTCACTTTATGTGATAGAGACATTCTGGGCCCGTGGTGCATAGAGAAGCTATAGTAATTTAAACAGTGATCAACATACACTAGCACTTTCTTACATTATCTGAACTGCAATGATTGCACATGAGTGAATTTATGCCATGCAGGGAATTATATGTAAAGAGAGGTTCATCACATAAAAGGGGACCAACATGTAGTGAACCTGCATAAAGTGAGTGATTACTGTACTTGCACATTAAATATCACATAGCAATGATTCAGCAGAAACAAAATCCATACAGGGTTTCAGAAATAGCTATAATAACTCTGTCATATTAGTTAAAAGTTAAAGAGGCAGGACCAAGAGCTCAAATTCAATCTCTGCAAACTCAAGTAGGTAATTGCAGTAGAATGTATGACAGATTTTGCTATAGTTAAGGAAACTTTCTCGATTAGAATATTTGTACTGTACAGTGAAAAACTGTATTGTCTTTTCTCACAGATTTAACTTTTTTTTTTTTGTAAAGCAGTATATGGTAATACCCTCTATGTCCATTATGTTTTCCCTAGGATGCTACCCATAACAGTGGAATAACACTTAGGTATGTACCTATTTACTGCTAGGAGAACATGGGCAGCAGGTGTAAGGTGACATGCTTCTCAGGTTAATTCTTAAATATAGTTGCCTATGTTCATTGAAAGACAAAGCTTATTTTGCAAAAGTATATTAGATAAGTGGAAGTTGGTGAAAAAATTAAATAGAAAAGTAGTAGTGTTTAAAAAGTCAATATTTCACTGTGTTTCAGACAGATCTAACGTTAATACAGTGGAACTCTGGATTTCGTATGCACTGAATATTGTATGTTTCGGATTTGGATACATACAATTTCCATCTGGAAATTGTATGTATCAGACGCGTCCCCCTGGGCTGCTCATACTTTCGTGACTCAAAATTATTTAAGAAACATGTTACATAGCATATAAACAATCAATGTTTATATGCTATCAAGGGATGGGGTCAGTGGAGGGTAAACATTACGTTTTCTCCAGTCCAGCATTAGAGAAAATTGTCTGCCCAAGTCACCGCCCTTAATACACTTTACATGATGCTTTTGTTTACAATTCTCGGCATGAATTATTCATTACTTCTCCCTTTGTTTATGATGGCATCTAAAGGTAGTTGTTAGAAATGATTAAACTCAGTGAACTGGTATGTTGATGGTAATAATATGGCTGTGGGCCGCAGTGTATGTAGCCAGTAGGTATAGCCCAGGCGGATGTATTCTGCCTGGGATGTAGGCCGCCTGCGATGACAAATAAATACTACTCACCTCTCTCCCTACATTAAGACTACAAATATTTTAAGGTAAGTAATGAATGTACTGTGTATGTATTTTACTTTTTATTGTGTTTTAATGCCTAGTTCTATTACTAACTCAATATAAATTAGTGTAAACTTGACAACCCTATGCCTGTTGTGGAATCTATTGTGGCTTTGGGGAAGTCCATGAGGGTGGATGTGAGTGGCCAGGATGTGGAAGAGTTGGTGGACAACCACAGGGAAGAGCTAACCACTGAAGAGCTGCAACACTCTAGTTATTCTCTATAAAATTTATTTTTTGTTAATATTTTTGAGTGTCTGAAACAGATTAATTGGATTTACATTATTTCTTATGGGAAATATTGCTTTGGTTTTCATCTGTTTCAGATTTAGACCAACCTTCTGGAACGGATTAAGTACGAAATCCGGGGTTCCACCGTAACTTAAAATGTACCAGTACTTATGTGTTAGGAGTATAGAAGTTGTGAATCTAGATACTGTAATTTGGTTTATTGGTGATAAAAGGGGAGGGGGGTGCTCATATCAATCTGTATGTTTGTGTCTTTGATGGTGATTGCCTATTTGTGATTACTGTACTTCTCTTGTATGGTATTTAGTTTGTCATATAGCTTTTTGACATTGCCAGTGGTTTTATCATATACTTCTTCTTAGATCACCTTCCAAAAGTCTGCTACTCTTACATGTGAAAAACTACTTCATAACGTTCTTATATCTCTCTTATTGCAGCTTTTCTCCTGTAGTTACAAGTAGATATTCACAATCACTTTACGTATATCATTAGTGTATCCAGTATTCAGTGGACAAACAGCAAAGCTGTTCTCTTATGCATTGCTTGTCATTAAGGTATGTCAGCCCCTTCTCAAACCACGACCACAAAATAGGTCGCTTCTCACACTTAAGGATATCTGTCTAGGAAGTGATTAACACATTTTTCAAGGTTTCATGGAGTAAATTTTCCCGTGACTCATGGATGGTAGACCCCAGCCATGGGAGTTGGTTGACTGCCTTTCCCTAGTAGATTTCTATCACAGCCCATAGGTTCTCATTAGGGTTCAAGTCAGGAAATTTCCTGGTCAGTCATTGAAGAAGGGTGCTTCATAGTCAGAAAGCCACTGAACAATAGATTTTGCGGTGTGGCAAGGAGCATTGTCTGGCATACAAATCTTTGCACAACACTGCAGGAAAAATTTGAGCAAATAATCACAGAGTAATTCTCAGTACATTAGTGGGAATGTTTTTCTAGGCTTCCTTGAATATGCTTTTGGTGTAGGCTTGTCAGTAACACTGTCCTCAAGGGACTGATTTAAACAAGTCTTTACTGAACATTCACACATCAATGGCTTCTACCGTTTCCTTTGTTTGACGGTGTGCCTTATGTATCCAGTGATCTGTGCTATTGTCTTGAGTCATCAACTTACTCTTGCCCATAATAAATCGGCAGGGCACTTAAGATGCAGCCAGTAGCCCTAGGGAATCCTGAGATGCTACTCTGTGAGTTGCCAGGCCATCATAACTTTTTGTTTCACTGAAACACCTACCAGGGTTTGATATTACTTTGGGCATTAAAGTATACTGGTTGCTTTTCATCTGGCATACTTTAATGACGAGCACTTTATATTCTTGATTGTGTGTATAATGATGGCCTAAGGGAAAACAAATATGTTGCAATATTCATCAGGAGACAGGACAAGCATCTCCTGACACAGTCTTAATTAATAGATGACCCATTTTAGATTCATAAACATGTGTACGTTTAGATATTAAATATACATTTTCCTTTTTTTTTTTCCTTAACAGGCTGTTATACAGTACTATTGCCCAACAGCAATTGTTCTTCAGTGTGGTGCAGACTCACTATCAGGTGACCGCCTTGGCTGCTTCTCCCTCTCCACCAAAGGTCATGGGTAAGAATATAAGTACAGCCTCTCCTCACTTAATGATGGAGTTCCATTCCTAAAACCATGTTGTTAAATGAATTCGTTGCTAAGTGAGGAGCATACTATAATGGTAGTGGGTTTGTGTCAACTGTCTTTGATATTGTTTTAATGTCACCTTTGCATCATTTATAACATTTCTGGTATACTATTTTTAAATGTTTATACAGTAGTGTACTGTACAGTGGTATCTCGAGTTTCGAACAGCTCCCAACTCGATTAATTATGTAAGTGTATTTTTGTAAGTGCTTTTGTAAGTGTATTTTTGGTGGTCTAAAATGGACTTATCTAATTTACATTATTCCTTATGGGAAAAAATTCGTTTGGTATTGATACTCGAACAGCCTTCTGGAACGAATTAAGTTCGTAACTCGAGGTACCACTGTATATTGAAATAAACAGAATAGAGGAAATCAGCTCTAATACAGGTCCTCCATCACAAATTCGGCATCATTGGGACCTGTAGTGTGCCGGATTACTGAGTTTGCCGGATTACAGAGTGGTTAGGTTAGAATACACTTAATAAAATTAACCAACTTGACTTACACAGTTCATTGAACATCGGCAAAAATCGAACATTTCCGCTACTTTGAGCTCAATTTCAAGGTACTTTTCATCATGCAAGCAATCAAAATCATGTCTATTTCTGTAATATATCTTCCATTCTATCAAATGAGTCCAAAAAAATGAGAATACAACCTAAAAACCATACGAAAATATACTTCAAAGAGGCGGCTAATGGCTGAGAAGTGAATTCCCTTATTTATCGTCCGTCTTTTTTATTTTTGTTATACGTTAAGAAGCATTTTTTCCATCATACATTGCCCAAGTTTCAATGAGATAGCCCAACAAACAACCGAGAAAAAAAAAATTCACCAAAAATCATATATGGCAAGCCCAAGCCAGGTACTGGAAATAAGTCACTTTGTCTGACTTTTCTGGGTTATCCTAGGTCCTCTATACATACACTGCTATGTATGATAATCTATGTAAGTGTATTTGTGTATACCTGAATAAACTTATTTACTTCTAGTCTGTCAACTGAGTACAAGAAACCGCCCATTCACTTATTTCAACTACCCAATAAAGTGGTCAAAAATTGGCAGTTTGGCCGATTTCACGCAAATTTCAACGGATGCCAATTTCAAAATAGGATCCAGAATAAACAATGCAGACATTCCTGGCATTAAAATAACATTTTCTTTGTTCATTAGTCACGGCTACAAGCCCCTCTTATATTACTCTTGCTTACCTTTTGGAATTTTTATTCACACAAAAAAATAGAAGATTTACTGTTATGCAGACTACTGCATTATTGTAATAATTGTATAAATAATGTCAACCTAGACTACGTATTGGAATTTAGACTGGCAGCCAGACAGGTATTGGATGGTGACGTCATTTGTTTACTCTTGAGCTTCGCTAAAGAACAGAACATTTTCGCTACTGTGAGCGCAATTTCAAGGTACTTTTCGTCATGAACGCAGTCAAAATCATATCTATTTCTGTAATATATCTTTCATTCTATCAAATGAGACCGAAAAAATGAGAATATAACCATAACAACCATACAAAAATACATCGCTAAGCGGCCGCTAATGGCTGAGAAGTGAACTCCTCTATTTATGGTCTGATTTCTTTCATTTTTGGTGTACGTTAAGAAGTATCTTTGCATCACACATTGCCCAAGTTTCAATAAGATAACCCAGCAAACAACTGAGAAAATAATAATAATAATAATAATATCTTTATTTACTACACTTACATGTACAAGGTATACAGGCATCAGTGACATACTACTGTATAGAAAGCCACTTGTTATGCAGAGTATTTCAAGAAAATTAGGTCAGTGTCTCTGGATAACACCCACACTAGTCGGCTAACACCCAGGTACCCATTTACTGATGAGTAAACATAGACAACAGGTGTAAAGAAACACACCTAATGTTTCTACCCTGGCTCGGAATCGAATATTTACCAAAAATCATATATGGCTAACCCAAGCCAGGTACTAAAAATAAGCCACGTTGACTTTTTTTTGGGTTATCCTAGGTTCTCTACACAAATGCTGCTATGTGTGATAATCTATATAGAGAAAAATAACTTTTTTGTTTCAGGTTTATGGTGCAATACGAGTGTGTATATCACAGTTAGCCCTGTGCTATACTCCGTTTTCTCTAATATAAGCCCCCAAGACAGGGATAGGAGAATGGTATTTGTATACCATATCCTCTTCATACCTTCATCGAACTGCTCAGTGTTATGCCAAATATTATTTATTCTGGAGTATTTAACATGTTTTATGTTATTTATATTGTTAATTATGTCATATTAGATCAATTGTGATAGGCAAATAAGCTGTAGTGTTGATATTAGCGTAATAATAAAGCATATTCTCCTGCTTCATGAGACTGAGCTCATGACAACCGACAGTGGCTTCAAAGCCACCTTATCATTAATGGATAATGTACTGTGTAGGTGCTTTACATAATGAGAAGCATTTCTTTTATTCATTGGAACCATGGCTAGGGCTAAAAGTAAGCAGGTTAAAACAATAAATGGAGAAAAAGAAATTGAAATGACTTATGCAGCAAGTAGCGCCACCAAACAGTACCAGCAGGTTGGTGTGGCGACCCTGGAAATTTGAAATTATGCTAGCCAAAATTAGTGCCGAATAACTGAAGGAACCGAATAACTGATTGCCGGATTTGTGATGGCGGACCTGTATACATTATTTAGGTATAAATACTGGTCAGAGAGCCCGTTGTAAGTTTGAGACGTCGGTAAACGAGTACGACGCTAAGTGAGGAGCGGCTGTATATAATGGAGGCTTGGCAGTAAATACTGCAGTATTATTTTTATGTGAAACAGTTAATTTGAGTGGGTCATCCAGTGAAAGAGCTGTGAAAGCTCTCTCCTCAGTACGTTAAAATCAAGAAAAAATACTTTTCTTCCTGGCTTTTTCCATCTGATTGACACTAGATAAAAGCACACAGCTGTTTTTTAACCCATGGCAAAAGTTTTTGGTAAATGAAGATTTGTTCGATTGATAATGTGTTTCTTTTATCATGCAAACATTCGTTTCTTTCAAGTGTCTTCTGCACACCAAGTATCATTTTTCATTTATTTTCTTACAGTTATTAATTTTACATTCTTCAGCTTTTTGTTGTCCTAATGTCCTTCACTTCCTACATTGCCATTGGGTAAAAACTGAAGCATTTTTTAGTACAGTGGACCCCCGCATAGCGACCTTAATCCGTGCAAGAGGGCTGGCTGTTATGCGAAATGTTCGCTATGTGAATGAATTTTCCCCATAAGAAATAATGGAAATCAAATTAATCCGTGCAAGACACCCAAAAGTTTGAAAAAAAAATTTTTACCACATGAAATATACATTTTCCTACACACAAAGAGAAGGATACATGCACAATAGTAGAGTAGTACATGCACAATATATATTTTGTGATTTACTACTCTACTAAATGAAGAATAAATGACACTTACCTTTATTGAAGATGCAGCAATGACTGATGAGACACTGTGTCCTGGGAGTGCCTTTTCCTCCTGAGTACTGTGGTCCTGTTTGGTATTTTCTTCCAGAACAGGCCTTATCACACTGTGTATGTCACTACGATTCTTAAATCTCTCAAAACCAACCTTTGCTGGCTCTAAATTCACCAATATGAGCACTAGTTCCAGGCATTTTCCCTGTTCACCTGGGTGTTAGTCGACTGGTGTGGGTTGCATCCTGGGAGACAAGATTAAGGACCCCAATGGAAATAAGTTAGACAGTCTTCGATGACACTGACTTTTTTGGGCTATCCTGGGTGGCAAATCCTCTGGGGTTAATTGTTTCTTGGTATTCTCAATAAGCCACACCAACAACGGTGCTACAGCAGCAGCAGCAGCAGCTGACGATGTTACAGCAGCAGCAGACGATGCTACAGCAGCAGCAGCAGGCAGGACGATGCTACAGCAGCAACAGACGATGCTACAGCAGCAGCAGACGATGCTACAGCAGCAACTGACGATGTTACAGCAGCAGCAGACGATGCTACAGCAGCAGCAGCAGCAGACGATGCTACAGCAGCAGCAGCAGCTGACGGTGGTACAGCAGCAACAGACGATGCTACAGCAGCAACAGACGATGCTACAGCAGCAGCAGACGATGCTACAGCAGCAGCGATGATGCTACAGCAGCAGCAGACGGTACTACAGCAGCAGGAGCAGCTGACGGTGGTACAGCAGCAGCAGCTGACAGTGCAGCAGCAGCTGACGGTGATACAGCAGCAGCAGCAGCTGTACCACCAATAGTAGCGATGGTTGATTGGGGTTTATTATACAACCTGGCCAGCTCGGAGACACGCACTCCACTTTCATACTTATCAATGATCTTTTTCTTCATCTCCATAGTAATTCTCACCCTTATTGCTGTAGGGTTGGCACTAGAAGCTTTCTTGGGGCCCATGGTCACTTATTTTCCAGAAAAAAATCACCAAAAACACTGTAATAATACAAAATGTTCCGATTGTATGCTTGGATGTTACCGCGGAGGCTGGCTGGTAAACAATGCCACCGGCGGAACATGTGAGCGTGGCTCAGGCCGCACATTGGACGCGTCTCGGACGAAGGCCGCTGAGCGGGTTTTTGGGCGCTATGTGGGGCAAAATTTTAGCGATCAAAGCGTCCGCTATGCGGATTGTCCGCTATGCAAGGCGTCCGTTATGCGGGGGTCCACTGTATTTATGAATCTCTATTGAAACTAATTATCCAGAGAACTTTTTCTTACTAAATATATTATGTTCCATATTACTAAAATATTTTATAATGGTAAATTATAATACAGCTATTAATATGGAAAAATTGTATACAGTGGACCCCCGCATAACGATGGCATCGCATAGCGATTTTTCCGCATAACGATTACTTTTATCGCAAAATTTTTGCCGCGCATACCGATTAAAAACCCGCATACCGATTTTCGTCCGAGACGCGTCCAATGTGCCCTCAGCCAGCCTCACATGTGCCGCTCCGTCCCATTGTTTACCAGCCAGCCTCCGCGGTAACATCCAAGCATACACTCGGAATATTTCGTATTATTACAGTATTTCGGTGCTGTTTCTGGAAAATAAGTGACCATGGGCCCCAAGAAAGCTTCTAGTGCCAACCCTACACCTCAAAGGGTAAGAATTACTATAGAGATGAAAGAGATAATTGATAAGTATGAAAGTGGAGTGCGTATAGCCGACCTAGTCAAGCTGTACAAGAAACCCCAATCAACCATCGCTACTATTGTGGGCACCAGAAAGACAATCAAGGAAGCTGTTCTTGCCAAAGGTTCAACTGTGTTTTCGAAACAAAGATCGCAATTGATGGAAGATGTTGAGAGACTCTTATTGGTGTGGATAAATGAAAAACAGATAGCAGGAGATAGCGTCTCTCAAGCGATCATATGTGAAAAGGCTAGGAAGTTGCATGAGGATTTAATTAAAAAAATGCCTGCAACTAGTGATGATGTGAGTGAATTTAAGGCCAGCAAAGGTTGGTTTGAGAGATTTAAGAAGCGTAGTGGCATCCATAGTGTGATAAGGCATGGTGAGGCTGCCAGTTCGGACCACAAAGCGGCTGAAAAATATGTGCAGGAATTCAAGGAGTACATAGAAACTGAAGGACTGAAACCTGAACAAGTGTTTAATTGTGATGAAACAGGCCTGTTCTGGAAGAAAATGCCAAGCAGGACCTACATTACTCAGGAGGAAAAGGCACTCCAGGACATAAGCCTATGAAAGACAGGCTTACTTTGTTGATGTGTGCCAATGCTACTGGTGATTGCAAAGTGAAGCCTTTATTAGTGTATCACTCTGAAACTCCCAGAGCGTTCAGGCAAAAGAATGTCCTCAAGGATAATTTGTGTGTGCTGTGGAGGGCAAACAGTAAGGCATGGGTCACTAGGGAATTTTTCTATAACTGGTTACACCATGCATTTGCCCCCAATGTGAAAAATTACCTAACTGAAAAGAAATTAGAACTTAAGTGCCTCCTGGTGTTAGACAATGCCCCTGGTCATCCTACAGACGTGGCAGAGCGACTTTATGGGGACATGAGCTTCATTAAGGTGAAGTTTTTGCCTCCTAATACCACTCCTCTCCTGCAGCCCATGGACCAGCAGGTTATTTCCAACTTCAAGAAACTGTACACAAAAGCTCTGTTTGAAAGGTGCTTTGTAATGACCTCAGAAACTCAACTGACTCTAAGAGAGTTTTGGAGAGATCACTTTAATATCCTCAATTGTGTAAACCTTATAGGTAAGGCTTGGGAGGAAGTGACAAAGAGGACCTTGAACTCTGCTTGGAAGAAACTGTGGCCAGAATGTGTAGACAAAAGGGATTTTGAAGGGTTTGAGGCTAACCTGAGAATCCTGTGCCAGTTGAGGAATCCATTGTGGCATTGGGAAAGTCCTTGGGGTTGGAGGTTAGTGGGGAGGATGTGGAAGAGTTGGTGGAGGAGGACAATGAAGAACTAACCACTGATGAGCTGATAGATCAACTTCAAGAGCAAGAGGCCAGACCTGAGGAAACTGGTTCAGAGGAGGGGAGAGAGAAATTGAAGAAGTTGCCTACTACAAAGATAAAGGAAAATCTGTGCTAAGTGGCTTGAAGTGCAAACCTTCATGGATGAAAATCACCCTCACACAGCTATTGCAAGCCGTGCTGGTGATTATTACACTGACAATGTTGTGAAACACTTTAGGCAAGTCATAAAGGAACGAGAGGTACAGGCCACTATGGACAGATATCTTGTGCGAAAGAAGTCCAGTGACTCTGAAGCTGGCCCTAGTGGCATTAAAAGAAGAAGGGAAGTAACCCCAGAAAAGGACTTACTACCTCAAGTCCTAATGGAAGGGGATTCCCCTTCTAAACACTAACACACTCTCTCCCCTCCTCCCATCCCATCAATCATCACCAGATCTTCAATAAAAGTAAGTGTCATTTAATTGTGCATGCCTTTTTCAGTTTGTGTGTATTAAAATTAACATTTCATGTGGTAAAAAAATTTTTTTTTCATACTTTTGGGCGTCTTGCACGGATTAATTTTATTTCCATTATTTCTTATGGGGAAAATTCATTCGCATAACGATTATTTCGCATAACGATGAGCCCTCTTGCACGGATTAAAATCGTTAACCGGGGGTCCACTGTATTTATTTGCATATATGCCATTTTAAGATATTTTAACTAATATTCACATGTTTACATTACTAGTTCATTAATATATTTCATTTAGTGTTCATCTAAGTCATTTACCATTCTAATATTGCTAGAATATTTGGAGTATATTTACAGCAAAGAGGACAGGACATGAAATAATTATGTTGTAGTAAAAGTTCTGCTGATTAAAGCTTTCATTGCTTAGAGATTTTGTGGGCATTTACAGTGCAGGCTAATGATCATTCTCAAATATTTCAGTGAATGCGTAAGCTTTACAAAGAAGTTTGGTGTTCCATTGTTAGTGCTGGGTGGTGGTGGTTACACTCCAAGAAATGTGGCTAGGTGTTGGGCTTATGAAACAGGACTACTAATTGATACAGACATGCCGACAGAAATTCCATATAACACAGGTAAAATATTTCTTAAACTTTTTTGATGTTCCATTATTGCTTCAAAGCTCATTTTTTACAATTAGAGTGTGTAGAAGGGCCTCGTTTGTACAGCTTTTAGGTTCTCGACCTTGTAGAGTAAGCAAGAATTGCCGCCAAGTGGAAAAAGAGCGATTTATTTATTACTGAATGCGTCTAAAATGACTGATAATGTGTTTACACCATCATATCTTAAGTGCTCAATACAGCTAGGCATAAAAAATAAATAAAAAGTAAAATAAATACACAATACATGTATACTTATAAATATGGTGCTGCTCGCCCTTCCCTTACTCGTACAAAAAGGGGCGAAAAAGCGGTAAAAGCACTAAACATAATGAACAGTGGCTCAATTGAAAGCCAGCGAAAACGTGGAACACTGGAAAGAGGGTGCTGCGTATGCAGGGCACTTCTGTACTGAGAAAGAACTTCAGAGTCAGTATTTAGCAATATTTTATGTATAGTATAATATATAGCAAAGACAGTGATTGTGTGTGAATTGTGGTGAAAGTGTTGAATGATGGTAAATGTGTTTCTTTCTTTTTTTGGTCACCTTGCCACAGTGGAAGATGGCTGGCATGTTGAAAAAAAAATTGCATTTCTTATAGACATTACTTCTTTAGCTCCTAGTTTTCTGTAAAAACATTTAATTCATATTTCAGAATACTTCCAGTATTTTGCTCCAGATTTCTCCCTCCACCCTGAAGTAATAACACGTCAAGAAAATGGGAACAGTCGACAGTATCTGGAAGCTATTGTTAAACATGTGTATGATAACCTCAGGATGGTTCAGCATGCACCAAGGTAAAGTAAAAGAAATTAAATACTTTATGCCACATTTCAGTGTTATTTTAGTTGATGGCTTCTTTCATCAATTTAACTTTATATCCATAGAATTATGGTTATAATTCTGGTTTTATCACATGTGTTGGGTCTTTCAACTAACATTGACATTGTTGAATGTCCTCTATTCACAAAATAAGGTGGGCTTTTATCATGATATTTTTGTGATGATAAATTTATTCTTGTAGGTAGTAGGTTGGTAGACAGCAACCGCCCAGGGAGGTACTACCATCCTGCTAAGTGAGTGTAAAATGAAAGCCTGTAATTGTTTTACATGATGGTAGGATTGCTGGTGTTCTTTTTTCTGTCTCATAAACATGCAAGATTTCAGGTACGTCTTGCTACTTCTTCTTACACTTAGGTCACACTACACATACATGTACAAGTATATATATACACACACCCCTCTGGGTTTTCTTCTATTTTCTTTCTAGTTCTTGTACTTGTTTATTTCCTCTTATCTCCATGGGGAAGTGGAACAGAATTCTTCCTCCGTAAGCCATGCGTGTTGTAGGAGGCAACTAAAATGCCGGGAGCAAGGGGCTAGTAACCTCTTCTCCTGTATATATTACTAAATGTAAAAGGAGAAACTTTCGTTTTTCCTCTTGGGCCACCCTGCCTCGGTGGGATACAGTCGGTGTGTTGAAAGAAAGAAGAAATTTATTCTTAGCACCACCTAGATTACTACTCTTAGCATTGTCCCTAATCTCCATAATATGCAGTACTGTTAACTCATTAACCTGGAAATATCTTGCCTTTGAAGTAAGACTCCATGAGCATGTCTAACAATCACTTCAACCAATTTCATCACAGATGTCTTGTTAGTAGACTTGCCTTGCTAATTTTTTCTTCACTTGGAAGCCTTTATTATTTTTTTTATTTATTAACACATCAGCCATTTCCCACCAAGGCAGGGTGGCCCAAAAAAGAAAAACTTTCATCATCATTCACTCCATCATTGTCTTGCCAGAGGTGCACTTAAAATGCAGTTATAAAACTGCAACATTAACACCCCTTCTTCAGAGTGCAGGCACTGTACTTCCCATCTCCAGGACTCAAATCCAGCCTGCCTGTTCCCCTGAATCCCTTCATAAATGTTACCTTGCTTACACTCCAACAGCACATCAAGTCCTAAAAACCATTTGTCTCCATTCGCTCCTAACATGCTCACGCATGCTTGCTGGAAGTCCAAGCCCCTCGCACACAAAACCTCATTTACCCCCTCCCTCCAACCTTTCCTAGGCTGACTCCTACCCTGCCTTCCCTCCACCACAGATTTATATACTCGAAGTCATTCTATTTTGTTCCATCCTCTCTACCTGTCTGAACCACCTCAACAACCCCTCCTCAGCCCTGTGGATAATAGTTTTGGTAATCCCACACCTCCTCCTAATCTCCAAACTACAGATTCTCTGCATTATATTCACACCACACATTGCCCTCAGATGTGACATCTCCACTGCCTCCAGCATTCTCCTTGTTGCAACATTCACCACCCATGTTTCACACCCATAGAAGAGCGTTGGTATAACTATACTCTCATACATTCTCTTCTTTGCTTCCATGGACAAAGTTCTTTGTTTCCACAGACTCCTAAGTGCACCACTCACCGTTTTTCCCTCATCAATTCTATGATTAACCTCATCCTTCATAAATCCATCCGCCGACACGTCAACTCCCAAGTATCTGAAAACATTCACTTCTTCCATACTCCTCCTCCCCAATTTGATATCCAATTTTTCTTTATCTAAATCATTTGATACCCTCATCACCTTACTCTTTTCTATGTTCACTTTCAACTTTCTACCTTTACACACATTCCCAAACTCATCCACTAACCTTTGCAATTTTTCTTTAGAATCTCCCATAAGCACAGTATCATCAGCAAAAAGTAACTGTGTTAATTCCCATTTTGAATTTGATTCCCCACAATTTAATCCCACCCCTCTCCCGAACACCCTAGCATTTACTTCTTTTACAACCCCATCTATAAATATATTAAACAACCATGGTGACATTACACATCCCTGTCTAAGACCTACTTTTACTGGGAAGTAGTCTCCCTCTCTTCTACACACCCTAACCTGAGCCTCACTATCCTCATAAAAACTCTTTACAGCATTTAGTAACTTACCACCTATTCCATATACAGTGGACCCCCGCATAACGATATTATTTCAATCCAGAAGTCTGTTTGGGTGCCATTATAGACCGAATTTGTTCCCATAAGAAATATTGTGAATTAGATTAGTCTGTTTCAGACCCCAAAAAATACACCTACAACAGCACTTACAAAAATACACTTACATAATTGGTCGAGTTGGGAGCTGATCGTCATGCGGGGGTCCACTGTACTTGCAACATCTGCCACATTGCTCCCCTATCCACTCTATCATATGCCTTTTCTAAATCCATAAATGCAATAAAAACTTCCCTACCTTTATCTAAATACTGTTCACATATATGCTTCAATGTAAACACATGATCTACACATCCCCTACCCACTCTGAAACCTCCTTGCTCATCTGCAATCCTACATTCTGTCTTACCTCTAATTCTTTCAATTATAACCCTACCATACACTTTTCCTGGTATACTCAATAAACTTATTCCTCTATAATTTTTACAATCTCTTTTGTCCCCTTTCCCTTTATATAAAGGGACTATACATACTCTCTGCCAATCCCTAGGTACCTTCCCCTCTTTCATACATTTATTAAACAAAAGTACCAACCACTCCAACACTATATCTCCCCCTGCTTTTAACATTTCTGTCATGATCCCATCAGTTCCAGCTGCTTTACCCCCTTTCATTCTACGTAATGCCTCGCGTACCTCCCCCACACTTACATTCTGCTCTTCATCACTCCTAAAAGATGGTATACCTCCCTGACCAGTACATGAAATTACCGCCTCCCTTTCTTCCTCAGCATTTAAAAGTTCCTTAAAATATTCTCACCATCTACCTAATACCTCCCTCTCCCCATCTACTAACTCCCCTACTCTGTTTTTAACTGACAAATCCATACTTTCCCTAGGCTTTCTTAACTTGTTTAACTCACTCCAAAATTTTTTCTTATTTTCATTAAAATTTCTTGACAGTGCCTCTCCCACTCTATCATCTGCTCTCCTTTTGCACTCTCTCACCACTCTCTTCACCTTTCTTTTACTCTCCATATACTCTACTTTTCTTATAACACTTCTGCTTTGTAAAAACCTCTCATAAGCTAACTTTTTCTCTTTTATCACACCCTTTACTTCATCATTCCACCAATCACTCCTCTTTCCACCTGCCCCCACCCTCCTATAACCACAAACTTCTGCCCCACATTTTAATACTGCATTTTTAAAACTATTCCAATCCTCTTCAACCCCCCTACTACTCATCTTTGCACTAGCCCACCTTTCTGCCAACAGTCGCTTATAAAATCACAAAAACATGTTTCATCTTAACCCTTTCAGGGTCCAGAGGCCAAATTTCAAAGTGCGCACCAGTGTCCAAGAATTTTCAAAAAATAATTTTTTTATTTTTTCTTGTGAAATAGTAGAGAATCTTTTTCTGAAGGTAATAAAACAAAAAGTATGAAATTTGATCGAAAATTGATGAAATTATGCTCTCGCGAATTTTGATGTGTCAGCGATATTTACGCATCAGCGATTTTGCCGACTTTGACTCCCATTTTAGGCCAATTACATTATTCCAGCCGATCAAATTCTTAGATATTTCACTAGTATTACTTCTATTCTATCGATTGAGCACAAGAAATCGCCAACTCAGCTGTTTCAACTACAAAATAAAGCGATTGGAAATTGGTAATTTAGCCAGTTTAGTGCAAAGTTCAAAATATTCCAGTTTCAAAATAGGGTCCAGAATAAACAATGCAGGCATTCTTGGCACTAAACTAACATTTCCTCTGTTCATTAGTTACGTTTTCAGGCTTTACAAATGAATTCCATTTTGATTTTTAATTCACATAATGAATTTTTATTCAAACCAAAAAATAGAAGATTTACTGTCATGCAACATTGTAATAATTGTATAAATAATATCAGCACATTTGTGAACGTATATTAGACCCACCAGCTGGCATGTATTAGACATGTGAGGTCATGTGTTTACGCTTGAACATCGGCAAAAATTTAACATTTCCGCTACTTTGAGCTCAGTTTCAAGCCATTTTCAATACTAAAACCAGTCAAAATCATCTCTATTTCTGTAATATACCTTCCATTCTATCAAATGAGACCAAGAAATTGCAAATACAACTATAAAAAACATATGAAAAAACACTGCAAAGTTGCTGTTTTAATCGAAAATTAGTCTCAGTTTTTTTCTCTTATGCACTGTGTGCTGCAGGATTTGTTTTATGTGGTGCACACATACCACATAGATGTATTCTCTCATATCTAGGCCCAAATTTACCACTCACAGTTTATCAGAGTGAGCTGAGCTCATGGCGTAGATCTATGGTTTGGACCCTCAACATAAAACCGTAGATATACGGCACTGAACCTGAAAGGGTTAATAGACAGTTTGACTAAAGTGAAAGAAATTCCAATCCATGCACTTTTTTCTTGGTGTATCAGTCACATTATTGAGGAACATACAAGTGTTTTGAATTTGTTTCTTTTCATTGTAATCAATTTGCCATCAGTATATAAATATTTGGATTTTTTCTGTTTGTATTATATTTCTTTGTTTAAGCGTGTTTTCATGGTAATATATATTTTCTGTATTCAGTGTCCAGATGCAGGATGTACCAAATGATGGATTAAATATTAAGGAAGAAGAACAAGAACTTGATCCAGATGCTCGTCTGCATCTCAGTGAAGAAGATAAAAGGTAATTTATATAGTGAATTTATATATATTCATATTGGCTGTTTGGAGTGACATCTAAACTGTCGTATCTGAGCACCTCTGCAAAGATGGTGATTATGTGTGAATGGTGGTGAAAGTGTTGAATGATAGTGAAAGTGTTTCTTTCTGTTTTGGGTCACCCTGCCTCTGTGGGAAACAGCCAACATGTTGAAAAAAATATATATACATTCAGTAAAACCTTTCATAATACTTGTGTTACATTCCTGAAAAAATAGTGTTATGTGTGGTGAAGAACATAAGGGAAAAAATTTGGTTATATTTGAAACACCTAAATTTAATTCACCTCCCCCCCAAAATTACTGCAGTATGCATTAACTAATATTATGGGTAGTTCTTTCTTATTGAAATGGAAGAGTGTAGGGAGGGTTGATGTAAGCCTACTGGGCTGAGGTGGATGGCTGTGGTTCTTGTGTTGATGTAGATGCAGAGTTGTCAGTAGCTAATGGTTGTATTGGAGTGCTCAGGTATTTTGTAATTTGTCTGCTGTGTTTTACCCTGTAATACTTTGTAGAACTGCCCAGAAAACTTTGTTATAAAAATTAATGCCCTTTTTGAAACCTTCAAACTGTCCAACTAAATATACAGTGTTGTTGAAATTTCACCTTCTTTCTTACATACAGTTTTATATGATTAGGACATTCAATAACTTTTCCATCTTACTGAGCTACATGTAGTAACCTCTTGGATTTTCTTTAGAGCAGATGACAAAATCTAGAACTAATGCACAAGATCTTTTTTCCTCACTTTAAAGGAGAGGTTTGGGATATTGACTGTTTGGAGTGGCATCTAAACTGTTGTATCTGATCACCTCTGCAAAGACAGTAATCATGTATGAATGATGGTGAAAGTGTTGAATGATAGTGAAAGTTTTTTCTTTCTTTTGTTTTTTTTTTTTTCTTTTTGGGTCACCCTGCCTCGGTGGGACATGGCTGACGTGTTAAAAAAAAAAAAATCACATTGTAAGTCAGCACTGGAATTACCTGTCTATCTGTAGTCTATTCCTGAAAGTCATTACCCCAGTGGCCTGGTCCCATGCATTGAGTTATATTTTTCTTTTTATGGTGTAGAAGCTACCTGTCATGCATGCCTAAAATTGTCAAAAGTGCTCCTACTAATGTTGATATTTATAGTAGCATTTTTTGCTTGATAACAATAACAGCCTAAATAGAGAAATTCCTGTCACTTTATTCATGCTCTTTGTATGTGAATTTGCCTGTGTGATGACCCCATTCCTTCAATTGATTTCCTTTGATTATCAAAAATTAACACTTAAGAAGTCATTAAGGTTCACACAAAAGTGCACATGGATCCTGTTTAGGAATAGTGATGCCAGGCCCTTGGTGAGCTTGATGCTTTCCTCAGAGTATTCAAGCTTGAGATTTGATCTTTAAAAACACAGCTAAATTCATCTTCCAGCTTGGGCATACACAGATCTTCAGTCACAGCATGACACTTCTTTCAGTATAAACGCTGGGTCTTTACCATGCCTACGTGGTAGGGTGGAGCAATGCCTTCACTTCATTTGATTGATCCTCAGGTCCTGTCATTGGTTGGCCATCCGTGTGTGCTTGTTGGGCCTCAGCTTGTGATCATGCTTGGGGCTTGTTTGCTGCTGCTGCACATTCTGATGCATGGTGTGCATGCAGTGTCAGAGTTGGTTTGACTTTCCAGCTGACTACTTCTTGGTTTTGGCTGTGCTCAGGGCCATGTTCAGAGATCCTCCCTAGCATATTGTCTGCCACATTTGTTAATAGTCCAGCTGAATTGTCGAATTGTCCTTTGTGCTGGCTAGACTATAATGTTTAGTTGAAGTGCCCTTCATATTGGCTAGGGGATAGTTTGTCACCAGCCTTCTTCTATTCTGCCATTATTCAACAGTTACCTCTGCTGGGCCTGGAGCTGATGGTATGTTTTTAAGCCATTTGAAAGCATGGTTTTATTTGAAAAACAGATTTTTGAAAAGTGGGCCCTAGTTGGGCGTATTGTTTCTGTCTCCTTCCCCAGCTGTTGTGTTTTGGTTGCTGAATGAGTCTGAGCTTTGCAAGGTCCCAGGTGATGCTAATACCAACAAGTGACCAGTGACAAAGGCAAGAATATATTGAGATGAGAATTGTTGTGACATTCTAGGTAGACCTCCAGGGCCTCTGATACAGAGCTGTTTTTGAAATCAAAAAGTGTGTTATTTTTATGGGAATTATCCTGGATGTTTTGTTCATTTCAATGCTTTAAACCCCTAGTTTTATTGTGTATTAATTAAAATTTCTTTTGTTTTTCTTCTAGAATTGAACCAGATAATGAATTTTATGATGGTGAAAAAGATAATGATAAAGACGAGGATCCTGAAGTTACATCCTCCTCTGCAACAAAAAACTGAGTTAAGAGAGAGTGAGATGGCTCAGACCACTTTCACTGAAAAAAAAAATATAAAGCAATCCGTATAAAAAAGAATTATGTGAAGAAGAGAAAGATTTAGACCAGTGCATGGTGATTTGCAATATGACTTAAGATACATTATTAACAATATCATAACCAAAGGAAAATATTAATCTTTATTCATCATTAGTTTTGTATAGGGTATTTAGTATGTCATTCATGTGAATGCAATTTTGATTATGTGTTTCATGTTGGTGAGAGCATGGAATGTTAAAAATACTACATTCTTGCCATGTATTGAAAGCATTATTTATGTACAAATATTGATAATAAGTGTTTTAGACAAATGTTTTTTAGAAAATTTATTATGCCCAAGATGTTTTCATAATTTTGTACATGATGCCAATATTTTTTTTATAATGTGTTCGTAAATTTCTCTTAAAACATTTGCAGCAGTATTTGACCCATTTAACTCCATTTTCATGCCATTATCTAAGATGTCCTCAGTGTGCACATGAAGTTGTAATTTATGTATTTTTATAAACAAAAAGAAAAACAAATGATTATTTATGTTACATCCTTAGAGTTTGTATCTTTATTAAAATAAAAACAATAAATTGCATAATTGTTGACTATGCATATTGATAAATTCAACAGAGATTGCTAAGGGTGTGTATATGTTTCCACAGTGAGTGGATTTCAATTTGGTTAAGCTAGGCTGGTTAGATAAATTGAGAACCTTGAATCTACACTCTTGAATGACATTTTACGAGTGAGATATATTACAGATATACTGGTGATAGACCAGTGTAAATAAAAGATATTATTACAGTACTGAAGATTTCTAACCAAGAAAGAACTGGAAATAGTGGATAAGTTAGAAAGGATACTGGAAAGCAGTGGCTAGACAACGGAGTTGTAGATGAGCGGAATAAGTAGCCAAGTGGCAACTTACTTCACTCAAAGCAACCTTTGTTGCTTTGCCTGTACTAACTCACCTGTGAAAGGAGATTCCATGATGCTAGTTAGAGGCTCTTGATTCATGGAATTGTACTTGTCTTTTTTTTCTCTTTTGATTGAATTTGATTGCCTCACATTTCTGATGGCACTGTATGACTCCTGTGGGTTTAGGGTTTTCCTAAATAATAATAAAAATGTTAGCACACTTCTTGCAAGACAGCAACTGAATGAATAATGGTGAATGTGTGTTCTTTAGGTTACTCTGTCTTGGCAGAAGATGGCCTGTTGGTTAACAAGAAATTTCTATCATCTCTCAACTCTTCCTTGCAGCACTTTTTCACCCATAACTTATGGTTTAGCAATTTCCATGAATATAATAACAATCCCCTCTACCCTCTCTTTCACCTCTAAATGACCGTTACATTATTATTATTATAATCAAATTAAGTACTTAGCCCACAAGAGTCAAATAACCATTACAGGTTTAGTGCTTTCCATGCATGTGTGTGTGTAGAGCTCAACCCAAATAGGATTAGTTTTTTTTTTTTTTAAATACTGTATGGTACTGTATAATGATGAAATGTGGGCTGATCGAAGAACTTCCTAATGTCAGTTATCCACTGGGTGTATACATTTGACATGAAAACAATGTATGAATAAGTACAGTGGACAGACTGGATAAACTTTGGAAGCTAAAAGGAGCCCAACACTACACTGTGAGGATTATCATATACATACTGATACTTTAGCATCTCTTGACTCATTTAGGGAGTTTTTTTTGATGCTGGTGAAGGGCTCTTGATCAAGGAATTGGACATTACCTTCCCATTTTTTAAATGAACCTGATTGCCTTCCATTTCCCAGACACTATAACTCTTACAGGTTTAGTGCTCACCCCATCAGTTGTACCGGTCATCGGAGAACCTGCCAGTTTAATTCTAGATGCTATTTTCAACACTCCAACATGGTTGCTCTAACAGCCCTACCTTTAATGCAGGCTCTATGGGTTATTGACTGATACCCATTTCATACATCAACTTTGGTTCTTTCCTATCACTCTTTTTGCTGTTGTCTTTTCCTGAACACCACCGCCTTTCCTTCCCTACCATTCTTTCACCTCTGTTGTGTGGCACAGGTTTGGTGCTCTCAGTGAAAGTAATGCAGTAATACATACATCAAGTGTGAATTCCTTCCTCCATTCTATTAATGCCCTTTGGCTGTCATTCTTCCATCTTTTTCCTTGACTCCTTTCAGGAGGAGGACCATACTGGCCTAGAGAAAGTGACTCCATCCATCATCATCCTTCCCAGCCCCACCCTACAAATTATTATTATTATTATCATTTTTTTTTATTATTATCACACTGGCCGATTCCCACCAAGGCAGGGTGGCCCGAAAAAGAAAAACTTTCACCATCATTCACTCCATCACTGTCTTGCCAGAAGGGTGCTTTACACTACAGTTTTTAAACTGCAACATTAACACCCCTCCTTCAGAGTGCAGGCACTGTACTTCCCATCTCCAGGACTCAAGCCCGGCCTGCCGGTTTCCCTGAATCCCTTCATAAATGTTACTTTGCTCACACTCCAACAGCATGTCAAGTATTAAAAACCATTTGTCTCCATTCACTCCTATCAAACACGCTCACGCATGCCTGCTGGAAGTCCAAGCCCCTGGCACACAAAATCTCCTTTACCCCCTCCCTCCAACCTTTCCTAGGCCGACCCCTACCCCGCCTTCCTTCCACTACAGACTGATACACTCTTGAAGTCATTCTGTTTCACTCCATTCTCTCTACATGTCCGAACCACCTCAACAACCCTTCCTCAGCCCTCTGGACAACAGTTTTGGTAATCCCGCACCTCCTCCTAACTTCCAAACTACGAATTCTCTGCATTATATTCACACCACACATTGCCCTCAGACATGACATCTCCACTGCCTCCAGCCTTCTCCTCGCTGCAACATTCATCACCCACGCTTCACACCCATATAAGAGCGTTGGTAAAACTATACTCTCATACATTCCCTCTTTGCCTCCAAGGACAAAGTTCTTTGTCTCCACAGACTCCTAAGTGCACCACTCACTCTTTTTCCCTCATCAATTCTATGATTCACCTCATCTTTCATTGACCCATCCGCTGACACGTCCACTCCCAAATATCTGAATACATTCACCTCCTCCATACTCTCTCCCTCCAATCTGATATCCAATCTTTCATCACCTAATCTTTTTGTTATCCTCATAACCTTACTCTTTCCTGTATTCACCTTTAATTTTCTTCTTTTGCACACCCTACCAAATTCATCCACCAATCTCTGCAACTTCTCTCCAGAATCTCCCAAGAGCACAGTGTCATCAGCAAAGAGCAGCTGTGACAACTCCCACTTTGTGTGTGATTCTTTATCTTTTAACTCCACGCCTCTTGCCAAGACCCTCACATTTACTTCTCTTACAACCCCATCTTCTTCTTCTTCTTTCAACGTACCAGCCGTATCCCACTGAGGCGGGGTGGCCCAAAAGAAAAAACTGAAGTTTCTCCTTTTAAATTTAGTAATATATACAGGAGAAGGGGTTACTAGCCCCTTGCTCCCGGCATTTTAGTCGCCTCTTACAACACGCATGGCTTACAGAGGAAGAATTCTGTTCCACTTCCCCATGGAGATAAGAGGAAATAAACAAGAACAAGAATTAGAAAGAAAATAGAAGAAAACCCAGAGGGGTGTGTATATATATGCTTGTACATGTATGTTTAGTGTGACCTAAGTGTAAGTAGAAGTAGCAAGACTTACCTGTAATCTTGCATATTTATGAGACAGACAAAAGACACCAGCAATCCTACCATCATGTAAAACAATTACAGGCTTTCGTTTTACACTCACTTGGCAGGACGGTAGTACCTCCCTGGGCGGTTGCTGTCTACCAACCTACTACCTAGGACAACCCCATCTATAAATATATTAAACAACCACGGTGACATCACACATCCTTGTCTAAGGCCTACTTTTACTGGGAAAAAATTTCCCTCTTTCCTACATACTCTAACTTGAGCCTCACTATCCTCGTAAAAACTCTTCACTGCTTTCAGTAACCTACCTCCTACACTATACACTTGCAACATCTGCCACATTGCCCCCCTATCCACCCTGTCATATGCCTTTTCCAAATCCATAAATGCCACAAAGACCTCTTTAGCCTTATCTAAATACTGTTCACTTATATGTTTCACTGTAAACACCTGGTCCACACACCCCCTACCTTTCCTAAAGCCTCCTTGTTCATCTGCTATCCTATTCTCCGTCTTACTCTTAATTCTTTCAATTATAACTCTACCATACACTTTACCAGGTATACTCAACAGACTTATCTCCCTATTGTAATAAAATAAGTGCTAAAGCCCCACCCTACAGAAGGTGGGCTCTCGGCTTTTTTTTTAATTACTCTCCTGGGAAATGGAAGGCAACCAGGTTAGATCTGATGAAGGGGATGACAACTCCTATTCCCTTGATTAAGATCTCTTCACTTGCCATCAAGTTATTTTTTAAGAAATTCATCCATCCCCAATCTAGTGGATTGCAAAAATGTAGCCTCCTATTAATGGCTGATGATGGGGCTCAATATGATAAATTAGAGCTGTCATTTCCTTATTTGGATCAACCCTAACTACAGCCCCTCCTTTTTCCCAGCCATTGTATGACCCTTATGGGTTTAGCATCTCCAGTATAATTGTACTAAGGGTGTGTCAGTGAGGGCCTCTTGATCCAAGGAACTGAACCATTCTTCCCTTTCTTGGATTGAGCCTTATTACCTCCCATTACCCAGTTGCTAAATGACCCTGTGGGTTTAACACTTTACCCTAAATATAATACCAAAGGTGTCAAATGCAACATTCTGTAGTCTGTATGGATAAACCCTGAGGACCAGAACCCTTGTTGTTGAGGTGCTCTTGATCCAAGGAACAACCAGACCTCTTAGAATCAGACCTGATTGCCTCCCATTCTTCAGGTGCTATTTGACACATGAGTTTAGCAGATAATAAAAAGGATAATATTTGCTAAGTATTGTTCTGTGAACCCAATGGGTTCCGGTCCACTTATTTTTTAATACAGTTATCAAAATTTGTTCCAACTGGCTCATTTTATATGTAAACAGACATATACTGTGTATGAGTCACCGTGAATGTACGTCCTGTGTATATTACCTGGAGTTTACCTGGAGAGGGTTTTGGGGGTCAACGCCCCTGCAGCCCGGTCTGAGACCAGGCCTCATGGTGGATCAGGGTCTGATCAACCAGGCTGTTACTGCTGGCTGCACGCAAGCTGACATACGAACCACAACCCGGTTGGTCAGGTACTGACTTTAGGTGCCTGTCCAGTGCCTTCTTGAAGACAGCCAAGGGTCTATTGGTAATCCCCCTTATGTATGCTGAGAGGCAACTGAAAAGTCTTGGGCCCCGGACACTTATTGTGTTGTCTCTCAGTGTACTCGTGGCACCCCTGCTTTTCATCAGGGGAATGTTGCATTTCCTGCCGAGTCTTTTGCTTTCATATGGAGTGATTTTTGTGTGTAGGTTTGGTACCAATCCCTCCAGGACCTTCC